TCAAGTGACGGAGATGTCAATCTGCGGACGGGCTCACTAAGCCCTAAGTCACGAGAAGTTTACAATTTTCAAGGATCTGATTGGTCTACACAAAGTGGACGTCAAGGATGATGGAATTGACGACCATAACGACGAATAAACGGAACAATGGGATTGGTCAAGTCAAAATACCTTTGGAAAGGACTTCATGTATGTAGAATTTGTTGGCCAGCCCTGGCGCTGAGGGGGGTGTGTTGGTGCCTGACCCATACGGCATTCAGGCAGCTGCCAGGTCTGACCAATCAGCTGTCAGTTACCACGTGACCGCCAAACCGGCCACGCAGATTTAGAGCCGACCTCAACGCCGGCTCCTAGTCAGTTCTTCTTTTTCTTCCCCAGAGGGAGCAATAATATATTGATCTTCTATGCCTAGATAGACTTTATCTATTTCCCCACTGAGCTCTCGGCAGCCTTACGCCGAGATACTGTACATATTCTCCGGGCGACGGCCGCACGACATCTCCGCCGTCACCAATCGATCATAGATTTAATTAACGTAAGGCTGCACTCGCTGGTGCTAGGCCTGCATCGAGCCATTGACTATAGTTCTGCATATTTATGATCAATAGATTAGGTATGTATAGTACTGTACATGTACATGTACCTAATTTCTAAGCCACGATTCGAACTAGCGCAACAGACCTCACACAGAGCTGATCTGATCCGAGGATAGTTAGTTAGTCCTCGTGCCGTACGGTCCGGAACCATTTTTAACCGTAATGTGGCTGAGAACTATGTGCATGAACTGTATGTACATACATGTACAGTACAAACAGAAACAAGGAATGAGGTGGATAATGGATCGACCGATCGATCGATCGATCGATCGATCGCCCCCCGGACGGGATCTATCCGTCTTCCCGTCCTGCAAGATCTGTCCGTCCGTCTGACCCTGGCAGGGCAGGCATGCATGCATGATCTCGGAAAGTATGTACTCGAGTAGGTAGCCAAGCCAAGCCGTTGTGGCTGTACCCTGTGCAGGAAGGAAGGCAGGAACGAACGAACAAGTTAGGTATAAAGGGTTGCCTGATCTGGTGACCTACAGTAGTTGTCTATTTTATTGGTTGATTATTGCCTATCTAGGTATTTATTATAGATGCGCTACATGACGTGGTTCTAGAAGAATGTGATATGTCCAGCAGAGAGGCAGATAGGCGGGAATACCGCCAACCGTTTATTTATTTAGGTAGCCTATCTAAGGCAAGGTACTGCCCAATCTAGCAATAATAACTAAATTAGTACCTAGATTGGGAGGTACCTACCTCCTTTCTTGGATACTGTCGCTTTAACTGTGTGTCAGGTGATCAGGTCACGCAGTCTTGCCTAGACTTATTTACACTTAGAATAAAATCATGCTGGTAGCCGTCTCAGATTCGAAGGAAGACGGAGAAAGGAAAAGATACAAAGAAAAAAAAAGAAAATTACAAAAATTGTGAACAGATAGGTTCAATATAGCTAGTATAGTCTGATAGGCTTGATACTTTCAACTACATTTAGTTTATTTATTTACGTCGTCTCTCGTCGTTTATCTGAACACCCAGCATATAGGCCTAATATGGCATTTCAGAAGCTCATTTTATTAAAAAAAAAACTACCCAGCAGTATCGGAATAAGTAGACTTGATATACGCCTACTTTAATATAATACTTGTGAGATACCAAGTTCCACCTTATCTTACTCATTTGATTTGTATCAAAAAGAAGAAAGGCATTATTATTAGAGGATCTGCGTTGCCTTTCTGCATAAAAATAAATCGCTTTCCCCATGGGATTTAATCTTCCTCTGCGTGCGTGGCTATCTGGACCCCTTTTTTACTTAGAATATAGAATCTCGCAACTCATCCCGCACCTCAGATGCAAGTTTTTAAGAGATAGGTAATCTACTATCAACAGGCATACTGAAAATGTCCACTGGTGGAAGATATTTTTGAATCTGGTCTTCATAATTCGTTTATGTCGGTCCTTTCTTGAGTACTGGAGATGTCTTTTCATTTCTTTAAAAAAAAAGAAGAGGGGGGGAGGGAAGAGAGAGAGAGAGGATTTTCTGCTAACGTCAAGTGTCATTCTCATTCTAGAGATTGGCTGGCTCTCAGCCTGTCACGTAATTATACTAACAAATAGTAGGGCATGGTCCAGCATAGACCCTTTAAGTAGGCTTTGCCTTCCAAAAAAAAAAAAGACAGGAAGACAGAAAAAAAAAGGAGGGGGGATTGATTTTTGATTCACACCAATCTCACCAACTACTATTGATAATAATAGTTACCTGTTACCCTGCAGTTACGACTGACACAGCTTGCTCCCTGTCAGCAGACTCGTTGGATATAACACCCTCGGCAGTCCGCTCGCCATCGGCACAGGGACATTCCCACTCGAGTCAACGGTCACACGCGTGCATGACAACAGCTCTGTCAGCTGCTCGCCAGCCGAGTAGCCCGTGCCGCCCAGCGACAGGGTGTAGGAGCTGCCGGATGCGCCAAGGTTTGACAGCACAGTGATCACCTGCTCGCCGTCGGTGCCCTTACGCATGGCGATTGTGCTGGTGTCTTGGTAGATTGGGTAGTTCTGATGACAGTTAGCTATTAGACTCAACTCGAGTCTTCTTTCAGAAGAAGGATTGGACGTTGACTCGCCTTGTAGGTCAGGTATCCGCTGTCTTTGCTAATCGCATGCGAGCGAATCCCATTTGCAGACGCGATAAACTTGTACAGCTCGGCAGAGATGTCGTACCCCGACAGCCAGGTTGCTTCCCGATTGCCAGGATCGTTCCCACCGGAGTAGTGCTGCTCTTGACCGGCGTAGATGATAGGGATGCCATCTGATAAAATGACGAAGGCGATGGCGTTCTTGGCAAGGGAGTAGTCGCTTGTGTAACTGTAGAAAGTTAGAACAGTACAATTTCCATGATGGCTGATGCTGACCTTGCAAATCGCGGGTTGTCGTGGTTTTCGACAAAAGTCCCCAGCAGAGTGGAGTCCTTGCAACTCGATTTCACTTGGTTTATCATATTGTACAGATTGCTGATGCTCCCGTTTGTCGACTGGAATGCGGATATTATTTGAAAGTATCTGAAGAGATCAAGTTATTCCCTCAGTACCACCAATACCACTAATATATGTGCGTTTCCACTCACGTCGGGTAGTTCAATACTCCATCGAGATAGTTCTGATACGAACAGGTGTATGTTGGATCGCCATCCAGAATTTCACCCACACAGTACACACCAGCAGCCTTATTATAGCCTGGCCAGAAGTCCTTCTGGACATGCTTGACGGTGTCGATTCTCAATCCGTCGACTGAAGCGGATTAGATACAGTACCATTCTTGTAGATGATTGACTCACTCGAGTAATTGGACACCAGATTGCCCACCCAACTGTGCCAGATATTCTGCACGTCTGTTCGCGAGGTGTTCAGATCTGCCAACGCCACTATATTGTCGCCCAGCCAGCAATCCTCCACGTTGGTCTGATTGCTGTAGTTGGTGATGGCGCAGTACGGGTGGAAGTACTCCTTGTTATTGAACGGATTGAACACGCTGCAATCCATGTTTGTCCCTGAGCCAGCGTACCCCTGGAGATAGATCATCAGCAGATAGTTCCAGCAGTATGAATGGCTACTGTTACCAGATGATTCGCTACAACGTCGACCATGAGATACATTCCGCGGTTATGAAGGGCAGTCGCAAGATTCTTCAGGTCCTGAGCGGTGCCATAATTTGGATTGAGAGAGTAGCTGTAGATATCAGGAGTCAGTTAGTACATGAGAATAGGGATTTGGGCAAAAAAAAAAGAAGGTACGAGCTCGAGCTCATCGGTGAGACACTCACATATCTTGCTGCCAGTAACCGTGATAGCTTGTCCCGTCTCCGGTGTCCAGCGACAGCTGCTTCGTCACGGGAGTAATCCAGATAGCCGTGAATCCCATTCCTTGAATGTAATCCAGCTATACCGCAACGTAAGAAAATGGTTTTCAGTCAAAGACGTCCTGCTCACGTGGTTGATAATCCCTTGCCAGGAACCGCCGCAGTATTTCTATTCGCAAGTCAGCCGCCTCGCCGTCTCAACAAGAACAGTCAGGAGAGAACAGACTCGGGCATTGGTATCACATGGTGCGGTGGTGGAATTGTCTGTTCGTCCGAACCGGTCTGTGAGCAGGAAGTAGATGGACTGCGAGCGCCAGTCTGCTGGCGTTGCTGCATTGGCAGCTGCAGCCAGCAGCCCGGTGACAGCGGCAAAGAGAAACAATAGCATGTTGATATTTCATCAATTTAGGACTTGTTTCGAAAAAGCTGTCCAGCATTGAACTGCTGAACTTATCCTTTTCCAACGCTGCATTTTTGGCCCGCAGAGTTGGCAAGATTTATAACAATGACGGAAGGGGCGATCTCGCGACGTTGCAACCGCTGCGGTCCATGGCGATTAGAAGATGGGATCGACACGAGCGTCACCGATCCATATCAGCTGCGATATCGTCGGGCTGAAATCGGACATTCTGTCGTAGGCCTGCCTGGCATCCTTTGGAATGGCAAAAGACAGGGTCTCTTCCTGCATAGTCGTCACATGATCGGTGGGATTACAGTGATTGTGGTGGATTCACGTGCGATAACAGTCTCTTCCTCGATTGCGGGGTCGATCTTGCCCCTTTCAGAGATGTCTTCGCAAGGAAACGGGCATATATCGGGGGAGCTAAAATAAAGCCATGGAGCAGGTTGTTTTCTGTTTCCACTTCTGATCACACAGCCAATTACGAGACGTGTAATACCGTGAATCAAAACCAGATATATGTCAGTTTAGGCTTGTTTTAGCTATAACTTACTAATCAAAGCCCCTGAAAACACGTCAAGTTAGGTTATCACTCCAATCCTAACTCTGTTGATACTATATCAAGACGAGTACTCTGATTGGCTGCAGTCTTGGAATATATGATTAGTGGGAAAGGGGGTTAAAACTTGAACAATCAGTTTTGACAGTAGCGATGCCATGTCTATAGAGTCGAGACACGGCAGCTTGTGAATGGAGTCGGAAATGACAGGAGTACAGATTCCCTAACAGTCATGTCCTCCGTGCCTGCATCCCCGCATCCCCTGCAAAGATGCGACGCTACTCCACATCGGCTCCTTGATCTCTGCTGTTCCTGGCCTAGTGGAGCCCCATGCGCTGCTAGCTCGTGGTCTCGAATAAAATCTGAATGCGAATGACGGAGTAATTAATTACGTCCGCAAACTAAGTATGCCAAGCTTCCGTTGATGCATTTGACATATCTGTAGTGGCTTTTTTTTTCGTCATTTCAGACGTATATATAGTAGTTAGTGCCCAGCTGGCCGGGATAATGACGGGGATCTCTGAACTTTCAGCTTCTGCACGCTGAACAGTTGAACTCCGGTTTGTTGGTGTTGTCTACCATGGCGTCCCTCGTTGCTGGCGCTCTCTGTGTCCTGGGCCTGACGCCTGCTGCATTTGCGCGAGCGCCCGTTGCAGCCCGAGCCAGCGGTTCCCTGGACTCCTTTCTCGCAACCGAGACGCCCATTGCCCTCCAAGGCGTGCTGAACAACATCGGGCCCAATGGCGCGGATGTGGCAGGGGCAAGCGCCGGGATCGTGGTCGCCAGTCCGAGCAGGAGCGACCCGGATTGTAGGTTCTTTCCCACAGAAATTAAAGCACACAGGCTTCAAATCAACCCTCTGACATGTTGAAGATTTCTACTCCTGGACACGCGACGCAGCTCTCACGGCCAAATACCTCGTCGACGCCTTCATCGCGGGCAACAAGGACCTGGAGCAGACCATCCAGGAGTACATCAGCGCGCAGGCGCAAGTGCAAACCATCTCCAATCCGTCCGGGGATTTATCCACCGGTGGCCTAGGAGAGCCCAAGTTCAATGTGAACGAGACGGCTTTTACCGGGCCCTGGGGTCGTCCACAGAGGGACGGACCAGCGTTGAGAGCGACGGCCCTGATTGCATATGCGAACTATCTCATCGTAAGCTCTGCTCGCTGCTCTTCTATCTATATACTTTGCTACTCGTATGCTAATTAGATCCTGTCAGGACAACGGCCAGGCTTCGACTGCCGATGAGATCATCTGGCCGATTGTCCAGAATGATCTGTCCTACGTCACCCAGTACTGGAACTCATCCACCTTTGGTAGGCAAAAGACATATTCCTGAAACAGCGTGGCACTAATTTTACTTTATGCAGACCTCTGGGAAGAAGTAGAAGGATCCTCATTCTTCACAACCGCCGTGCAGCACCGCGCCTTGGTCGAAGGCAATGCACTGGCAACAAGGCTGAACCACACGTGCCCCAACTGCGTCTCTCAGGCGCCACAGGTCCTGTGTTTTCTGCAGTCATACTGGACCGGATCATATGTTCTGGCCAACTTTGGTGGCAGCGGTCGCTCCGGCAAGGACGTGAATTCGATTCTGGGCAGCATCCACACCTTCGATCCCGCCGGAGGCTGTGACGACTCGACCTTCCAGCCGTGTTCGGCCCGTGCCTTGGCAAATCACAAGGTGGTCACAGACTCGTTCCGGAGCGTCTATGCGGTCAACTCGGGCATCGCAGAGGGATCTGCCGTGGCAGTCGGCCGCTACCCCGAGGATGTTTACCAGGGCGGGAACCCCTGGTACCTGGCCACAGCAGCGGCCGCGGAGCAGCTTTATGACGCCATCTACCAGTGGAATAAGATCGGCTCGATCAGTATCACCGACGTTAGTTTGGCCTTTTTCCAGGATATCTACCCTTCTGCCGCGGTGGGCACCTATAACTCTGGCTCCTCGACTTTCAACGACATCATCTCGGCCGTCCAGACGTATGCTGATGGATATCTGAGCATTATCGTAAGTTGTTGCCTTAATTCTCAATGTAAAGAGAAATAGAACTAACTCAGCTCTAGGAGAAATATACTCCCTCAGACGGCTCTCTCACCGAACAATTCTCCCGTTCGGATGGCACTCCGCTCTCTGCTTCTGGCCTGACTTGGTCGTACGCCTCCCTCCTTACCGCTGCTGCCCGCAGACAGTCCATCGTCCCTGCGTCCTGGGGCGAAAGCTCCGCGAGCAGCGTCCCTGCCGTCTGTTCTGCCACCTCTGCCACGGGACCATACAGCACGGCTACCAATACCGCCTGGCCAAGTTCTGGCTCTGGCCCCTCAACCACCACCAGCGTTCCATGTACCACTCCCACCTCTGTGGCTGTAACCTTTGACGAAATCGTCAGCACCACTTACGGGGAGACAATCTATCTGGCCGGCTCGATCCCCGAGCTGGGCAACTGGTCCCCGTCCAGCGCGATCCCCCTCCGCGCGGACGCGTACACCAGCAGCAACCCGCTTTGGTACGTGACCCTCAACCTGCCCGCTGGCACCAGCTTCGAGTACAAGTTCTTCAAGAAAGAGACGGACGGGACCATCGTCTGGGAGGACGACCCGAACCGGTCGTACACGGTCCCAGCGTACTGTGGGCAGACTACTGCCATTCTTGACGATAGTTGGCAGTGAGATAATATCCATCCCTTGTCACGAAGCTTGAAGTCATGTTTGAATCGATCTATCGATATGATTCCTGAAAGATAAAGGGACAGTGACTAACTGACTGATTACTGGCTGACTGTCCTACCTGATTTACGTGTATATATTACTGAATATGGCAAGAATGAAAGTCTGAAGATATAGTTATTCATTTTCATTATTGTATTGACTCACATAATCCCTAAATGGATGGAGGTATCGTCCCTTTTATGTTCTGCTACTCTGCATGGAGATCTTAAACCAGAAAGAAAGAAAAATTTCCAGGCCGTTTGTCTTTTCTTTTTTTGGTTAGTCATAGATAGATACCGTCAGAGATATATCTGTAGATATGCCTCGGCACAAATAAAAGTAATCGCAGTAGATGGAGTAGAATGACGATCATAAATCAGTAGGTAGATATGTAAATAAGTAAATAAATACCCGAAATGATTTAATCACATATATATGCAACTTGTAGATGGTTTTCTTCTCACCACTTGAGAACCCAGTCACTGCTCCAGGCTCCGTCACGGGTAAGACTCTGCAGTCCATTGACCACGAGGACTTTGGAGGTGGAATTGTACGTCACCGACTCCGAAGGAACAGTCTCGTTATTCAAGGTGACCGCCGACGGCGCCGCTGGGACGCCCAGCACCGTGACGTTGGCCAGCGGATTGGTGTCCTTGAACGCACCGCGGCCCGTCGCGAAGAGGGTCGAGTTCGACGCCACAAAGTCCACGTGCAGGGACGCCGGAGGAGTGATGCTCTCGCCGTCATCCACGTACAGTTGTCCCGAGGCTTTGCCGTCGCTGCCCAGGGCCACCAGTAGTGACCAGGGGCTGTTCCGCACGTCCCGCGTCACCTGCGCCGGCTGCTGCATGGGGAGCACGTTTCCGCCGCGCACGAACACGGGGATGTGGCCCAGCGGCGCGGAGATGGTCGTGTTCACGCCCGGCTTCGCGTCGAACACGGTTTGCGTGTACCAGTCGTACCAGACTTCGCCCTGGGCGACGCCGGGGAAGACGCCCTTCACGGTGTCGACCTGCGGCTCGAGGACAGGGACGACCATCAGCGACGGCCCCAGGAGGAACTGCCGGTCCACTGCAGCGAGCGACGGGTCGTTGGGGAACTCCCACGCCAACGCACGCATGACAGTCGACCCCGTAGTGTGAGCGAGGTAGAACAGCGTGTAGAGGTAAGGGAGCAGGGCGTAGCGGATCCTCATCGCCGACTTGCTCGCCTCGATAACGGATGCCCAGTTGTAGGGCTCCTGCGGGATCGCCGACAGGACGTTGTGGTTGCGGTAGAAGGGGAAGAACGCGGAGAGCTGCATCCAGCGGTTGCACAGTTCTTCATCCGTGTTGCCGTTGAACCCGCAGGTGTCGACGCCGAACATGGGGATGCCGAACAGCGAGAACGACAGCGCTTGCGGGATGGAGAAGAACATGTACGCCCATTTCGAGGCGTTGTCTCCACCCCAGTGTCCGGCCCATCGTCCGCTGCCGGCAAACGTAGAACGAGAGATGATGAAAGGCCTCTTCCCGGGGAAGATGCTCAGTAGGGCATGATAGGTTGCGTTTGTTTCCTGGTAGCCCCAGAGATTGTGCACGTCGTACTCCTGCACGCCATCGACGTGGGTTGCGTTGGGCGACACAGCGTGAACAGACAGATCGTGACCCTCCTGTACGTGATTAATCACATAGGGAGGGTAGTTGACATTCCGCACTCCAGGAGTGGGCGTGGTCCTCAGGTAGCTGATAGTCGTGGACGAAGAAGTTGCTGTCGCTGTCGCAGCAGCCTGGCTCGACGACGCGGCAGACGCAGACGCCGCAGCCGTGGCGTTCGTCACGTTGAAGTCCTCGGGGTAGTCGTAGATAACAGCTCCAGGCTCTCCCGGAAGCGCGAAGTTCGGGTGCACGGGATTCAGGGTGAGGTTCCCTGTTCCACAGCTGCCAACGCAGAAGGACGAGACCTCGTTCATGTCCAACCAGATTCCGTCAAAAGCCACCTTTTCGTGCCATAGAGTCAGCTCGTTCGTCCACCAGTCGTTGGCTTTTGGATGATGCCAATCGGTGAACACTGTGTAGCCAGGCCAGACGGCTCCGATGTACAGGCTTCCGTCGGGATTCTTCAACCAGATATCGTCTTTAGAACCCCGATCATATGTCGCATACCTAATCGAGAAGTCAGTTTCACTCACTAATATATCTCCTTACAAGACTGGACTTACGCGTCGGAGGCATTGTTAGGATTGGGGTCATAGATCGCGGCGTCCACAATCGGGATGTAGTGACGGCCACCCTTGTGGAGCTGGTCCAGGAATTTGGCTCCCTCGCTGTAGGAGAAGCGAACCGGGTCGTTCTCGAAGTCGCGGTACTCGTTCATGTAGTCAATATCCGACCTGAAGAGACGAAGTTGTCGGATCACTTTTCCTTCAAGACAACTCTTTCAAATAGCATATCAACTTACCAGATATTTTCCAATGGGATCTCGAATTTCTCGAAATTGGCCACTACATCAGCCAGCTCCGACCAGTTTCTGTATCCCCAGCGGCATTGATGATAGCCAAGGGTGAAATACTGCTGCATTGCCGGGAGGCCAACGGTGCTGGTCTGGTAGCTTCTGGTGACATCGGCCTGGGTCGGACCGGCGTAGAAGTAAAGATCAATGCTGCCACCGAGTGTCCGCCAGGTGATGCTCTGAGGACGCAGCAGCACCTCTTGTCCGTGGGCGTTTCTCAGGAAAACTCCATGCGAGAGCGACAGATATTCCTTAGAGAAATCCGTCTCGTTGTCCGTCACCAATGTGTACTTCCCATGTTCGGAGTCAACCTCGTAGTACCGGGTGTCCAGATAAAAGGGATGGGTTCCGTAGATGTTCCTGAGCTAGGTCAGTTTCATAATAATCTCTTACATATTCGATAAAGCGGTTGATTTCAGATACTTACCGGTCAATAGGGTCTGCACTATCCGCGGCGTACGTCGTGGCGGTGAAGTTGTTCCCCAGTCGCAAGCCATGGATACGCTCTCCTAGACCGTAGAGATTGTAGTTCTCCGGCAGAGAGCTCACAAACTCGATGAACTGGTTTTCATACACCAGGACAGAACCCTCCGTGCTGAAGAGAATGTCGCCAGTGGCTTTCCGGAGAACCTTGAAATTGAACGAGGGTTCATTCGACCAGCTGAAGACGAGATCACTCTCTGGAACTTGGGCTCCTGCATCGACCCCTGGCTTGGGCACTATATTTTCGGGAAGCAAATACCACGACTGGTTTGAAGAATCGACGTGAGTCGGAACGATGTTGATGTTCAATCGATCCGCAGATTGGTACTCGACAGTCAGGTTCAGGGACTCCACGTCCGTTCCATACACATTGCATGGATTCCCAGCGAGTGTCAGGGTCGCCACAAATCCAGACTCCGTGTTCTGCACGTTCGACGCCGTGTAACCGGGACAGACATCCTGGGCGTTGACGGCATTGGGATCGTCGATATTGGCAAGCAAGTTGGCCCCGACATCCGCAGCAGCCGGGACGGTGAATTGAGCAGATGATGACGTAGTAGTCGTACTGCTGATCGGTCCTGCAAGAGCACCAAACGCCTGAGCAAGCCAGACGCTGGCAACAAGGGCGGCGGAGCCTGCCATGTTGTGCGGAAGTCTGGCGATGAGATGCCACGACGACGACACCTCCAGGTATGTGAAGCTTCTTATACGGCAACCATGGCAAGAGATGCAATCTTCCTTTTTGCCGTGGCCCTGGTCGAGAGCTGTACTACCCTCACTCTGTACAATGTAGGCGTTCGGACTGTGTTCTAGAGAGCTCCCTCTTAGCGGCGTGGAGCTCCACAATATCCCCGAAGCTAGGAAGCTCGGGTTCCAAGGTTATTTTGCGGGGTCTCCACTGCAAACAAGACAAATCCTTCTCTCACCCCAGCACTGATAGAGAGATCGATGGATAGATCGATTGCTACGGGCCTACAATACGTGACTGTTCTCATACAGCTCAGGTTTTAAAATCAGGTTTATAGCCCAGTTTCAAATGTTTTCTGCAGTTTCAGGATTTCTTAGAACCTTAGGTAATAGTGCTCCAAGCTTGTTCTCAACTCCCGTAACTAATCGGCAGGCGTATTATGTAAGACTACCAACCGAAGTTCGCATGCCGATCGTGCTGAAGAAGGCAGGTCCTTTCACATTAATATTGCCGACATAGACCCGAGCAGACACTGAGAGAAAGAGACAGAAGACCGGTCCGAGTCGAAGGCCTTTTCCGGGTTTGCCGGAGCTCCCGGACGCTTTGGGGAAGTTGGCCCTGATTGGCCAGATCTCCGACAATTGCCCGACCCTAGTCGGTCTCCACAGCCTTCCATTTCGTTTCTTGGCGCGTGCGGAGCGTCAAGCGTCAATGCCCCGCATACGTCTACAGACTCTAGCTGCTGTGCGAATGCAACCGTGAGCTCATTATTGTTGACTAGAAATAGCCCTGTCGACCAGACACAGCTAGTAGCAGAAGGAAGAAAATCGAATTGCATAAGAACTCAGGTACGAAAATCGATGGACACCGTGCACGCAACCCAAGCGTCCTGCTTTATAGAGCCGCAACCTGACGCTGTATCGGATGTCCTGTCCTTTTATAAGCCATCACTCGTCATTGTCCTGTAAAGTTGTCGACCTGAGGGCCTATGTCAGTGCGCATATTCTCAGCAGGTGATATCAGTGTCCTGTTCTTGTGTCTGTTCCAATGGAGCGTACTTGTGAACAATCGGCGAAGGTTATTCCATATGGGCGTCCCGTGTCATCATGGGGATGACGATTCTGAAGTAGTAGTTTAGAAACTATTCTGACATAGATAAAGCCTCTCAGGTAGTGGGAGCAGCGAAAACAGGCGATTTGCGGGGAAGTTCAGCTCGACGTAAGCAAGCGTGGTTGTTTATTTTTGCTTGACAGGTCGCATGGTCGTGCAATTTGCCTCGAGGGGCGCAAAAGGACGCGTCGCCATTAATTCGAGGTAGCAATTGATGACGACTTGGACCAACACAATATATTGTTTGACATGCTTGGCATAGTAACAACTTTAGTTCTTCACATGCTATTAATTAAAAGGACGGAGTGCTTACTGGATTCGAAGTAGTTGGCTTAGAGTTGCGGGCTGCTGGCACTGCCAGCAGCTCAACGAGGCATCTCTTCCGGGCTCTTTCCTAGCACATGCTGCGAGAAAATCGCTCATATTGTTGAAATTATTATATTCCATCAAGTTTGGGCATGTGTCAGGCAGCAACAGCACGCAGCTGGCCTCCAGGTGCTGACCTGCATATGCATGTGAGACTACGAGTCATACCACAGTCCACTAACACGCTCAATGACATAGCCATGCGTTGTATGGAGCATTTTAAGTATGGTCAGGGCGCAACCCTCATTCGACGTATGCACCCCAGGTCGACGCCAATTGCTGCGACTGGATTGTATCGGTACGTCACGGCCGGGTGATCAGTTGATCGGCAGTTACATCCCTGATCGTTGAATGGAACGGTTGTCATTGATAGCACGATATTAATCCGGAATTTAGCTGGATCGGTTCATGCAGGGGCGTGGCCTTGGTCGATCGTGAAACTCTCAGTCAATGCATCGAGGGAAGCTGTACGATATAGTTCGCTAAGACTGGAAAAGTGCTGATGATTTTCTCTGTGCTTTGAATGAATGAGCATCGAGGCTGTATCCACTGCTGCTTCTGTGAGGTGAATTTTAGAAAGACCAACGCTGTTTTTATTTGCCTTGCGATAATCAGTAGATCAAGAGAGAGAATCAGAAAGCGGGTGACTGTACCCCTGAAGATCACCGAAATGGGTATAATTCCTGAAGACAGGCGCGATCGATGGCATCATCGATCTCCCGCTCAGCTCCACGTTTTCCAGGCGTGGAGAGACCTTAGTTAAGAAAGTTAATTTGGCACAACGCCTTGGCGGGGAGAGTTGAAACTTAGCATGGCTGACAGGGGCTCCCGCACACCGAAACACCCAAAGGGTGCGGCTCCCCCGCCCTCCCACCTTCCCCAGTTTCTGCGAGGACTCGGCTATGACGAATGCCACCATCAGGGTAACAATTGCACCTTGATGGTTCAGATAAATCAACCGTCTTTTCCATGCGTCATTGATAAGATGTCGCTTATCTCCCACGCATCTCACCTAACTCTGCTGCGCTGTCTTCCTCGGAATCATCATGGATCAGACGCAGGCATCGACACCCAAGAAGGCCCTGAAGCAGGCCTGCGATAACTGTCGCCGGCGCAAGATCAAGTGCAATCGAGCCTACCCATGTGACAAATGCCAAAGATTGCTCCTCTCTTGTTCATACAGTGATGTCCTGCAGCGCAAGGGTCCCAAGTTCCGCACACTTTATCCTCTCGCGCCGCTCCATCCGCTCTCTGCCCAGTATCAGGCTCCTCCGAGTGGCAACCATGCATGTCAGGGTAACAGGCCTCAGTTCCCTGGTAGGTCTTGTACCATAATCCCTGAACTGGTTATCTCGCGCCTTCTTACACCAGGCTAGATGGTTGTCAGACGAGCTTCTCATGGAATCCAACATATGACTCGTACTCCTCACCTGACTCGATAGACTCACACTCCCAATGTGAATTGGCAAGCTACAGAGTCTTCCCAAAGGCAAGGAGGTTGTCCTCGCTCGTGCTGCTGGCACATGTGAACATTTATCTGAAGTACCTGTATCCCATCATGCCAGTCATACGACCCGAACAAGTCCTCAACGACAGCCGTGAACCGGAGAAGCTGACCCCGAAGCGGTATGCTTTCATGGCAGCCCTGTGTGCAGCGACGCATGTGCAACTCAAATTAGATGGCGCAGATGCAATGACGGACACCTCCTCGGGACATGCGTTGTCTGACGGACGCTCCGCGATGTCTGGGGAGGAATTATTGGCAGAAGCCGTTAGCGCCAGAAAGGAGTGTGATATAACGGAGAACGTTGACATAGAGACCTTGTTGACGTCGTTTTTCCTATTCGCTGCCTATGGCAATCTAGACAAACAAGATCAGGCATGGTTCTATCTCAGCCAGAGCACCGCCATGGCCCACACACTAGGTCTCCATCGAGAATCGACGTATTCGAATTTTGACCCCACGGAAGCAGAAGAAAGAAGAAGAGTATTTTGGCTGTTGTTTGTCACCGAGAGGTACGTATATCGGGAATTGGATGGTTCAGGGGTGGAACACATATCTGAAATGCCATTGCAGAGCGTATGCGCTCCAACAAGCCAAGCCGGTCATGCTGCGGAGTTCCATACACAAGCCCAAGGTTCTTTACTCGGAAGATCCAATCTTGGAATACGGATTCCTTAATCTCATCAACATCTTTGAAAAGCTCACCCCCGATCTGTACGATTGGGTTTCTGTCGGGTGTGATGACTCGATTTCCAAAGTCCCTGCCACGGGATCAATACGGAACCAAGTATCCAAGCCAATTTCACTGGAAGGGGTGCTGGAGATACAGCAAGTCGATATCCTTGTCACGCAGCAATGGCTTCAGGCGATGATGTGGAAACTTTCTATGAGTGGCTCGCCGCATCCGACAAATACTGACACTCTCCTGCCCTTCCATTTGCCCGTCTTGGTAGGAAAAGCGGTCATGGATGTTATCGGCTCTGTATCTCAGAGTGCCATCGATGCCCATGGGATTGGAATGGTAAGCTTTCATCTCTCGGAGTCGTGTCTCGCCATCCTAAATTTTCTTCGCGGCGCAGGAACAAAAGCTTTACGACATGGGTACCTCGATCGTTGATGTGACGCGCTCTCTGCGGTCTGCAGCCACACAACGCTTGGCGGCATCGGTGGCTGATCCCAAGGATCTTCTCTGGGGTATTCTCAATATCCTGTCGAAAATCCGTGGGTCACAATCTTATCTCTTCCCGGCTTTGCTGCAAAAGTCGAGCAGCGTATTTGGGCTTGAGTCACCTGCCACCCTAACGAATTCGTTGAGTTTTGCGGAAGATTATCCGCCCTCCTGGGACGTCAAAGAAGCGGGTTCTATAGAGGCCGTCACTGCCGGCGGAGAACTCGATCAAGATCAGGATGATCGCGAGAATGGCAACAGGTTACGAACTGACGCTCCTCCACTGGTAGATGCACTCTACCTGGCCTGATTTGAGACCAGACTGCTATGCTCTGATCATGTTGACATCTTCTGTTGTATTTTTTTTGTCATGATATTGCATGGGCGCGGAGTTCTGATATCCGTAAATATTTTTGTTTTTGTTCGGAGGTACTAGGAGGGGCCTGGCATGATCCGTCAGCTTCTTGTATATGTATATTCTTCGTTGATTTTTTTTTCTGCACTCACTGTATTTAATCTGACCTTCGGCAGAGTTCAGTGGACTAGGAATGATACCCAAACAAAACAGATGCCGGGGCTGATAACCCTGGTAGCAGAAATAGGTGACTCAAAAAGAATATTGATGCGACCAAGGAGGTAATCAATGAGCTATAACAGCGATATCATTATAATTTTTTTGCTACTATGTACTGGTAGATGATAGGACATTAGTGTAAACATTATGGGTGACGATGATGATGGTATAGATAATATGATTTTGATATAAAAAAACAAACAGGGGAAAAATAAAATAAAATAAGCAACCCCGTCTATATTTTATTTATTCATTCCTTTCGCCATGCCAACTCCAGAACGCGATCGCCTTCAAGGAGACTGCGGTGTATATAGAACTGCCGGATGAGGCCGTCTTCTATCACGACGTCCTCGAGCCGGTAGCTGAATTTCTTGGGGTCCTTGGGTCGTAAAGGTCCCAGCGTGTAGAGCCACGACTCGTCCGTGGCCCCGTTCATGTCGTCCCAGGTCTTCTCCATGCTGATGTCGTCGTCCGGGATGTTCGTGCTGTAGCGGATGACCGAGTAGCCGTTCGTCAGGATCCAGCCGTCCGAGAAGCGCCACTGGCGGAGCAGACACGTCGTCCCGCAGACCAGTGCCACAGCGCTGAGTTTCACCATGTCGGCGTCGAACCAGGACCGCCAGTGATGGACGGACACCGGCACCGGGCGGGCCGCCTCGAAGAAGCCCGACGCGTCGCCCATGAGGTCCAGCTGACGCAGACCCGGGTCGACGGTCAGCTTGGTCGTGGTGTATTGATAGATGCAGTGCGCGATTTTCCCGTCGCCGTGCTCCATATCGGCCTCGCACTTGTCCCAGACGTCCCGCAGCTGGTCCATGAGAGGTCGGGAGAAGAACATTCCGGCACCGCCGTATGCGATGATGCCAAAGACGGCCACCTGTTTGTCACTTTCGGACAATCCTCCAATATAGTACGGTTTCGTCTCGTCGTACTTCGCAAGCATTTCCACGAGCTTAGGGAGAGAGGGGAAAAAGGTATCGTCATCCATGATGCAAGACCATTTGGTTTCCTCGCGAGCATTCTCAGCCAGGAGCTTGACCAGCGAGGAGTACCGGTCGTTGTACTCTGCATCCGATTCGAAGATGATTAGGTTAATTCCGAGCGAGCTGGCCTTGCGCTTGATTTTCTTGATGTCTCCGTAAGGTTCGATCAGAGCGAAGATGCGGGCATTGCTATCGCTAGCCCAGTGCGCAAAAGCGTCCAGGGCCCCAATCAGCCGATCTCCTGATGTTGCAATGGCGAAATCAATGTGGGAGGCGTCCACAGGGGCGGGAGGGATAGGAACCTCGACGACGATCGGCTCCGAGCAGTTGGCCGTGTAGTCCTGGTCCGTGGCGGAATGGCTCAGGTTGACGCTTTGAGTGTCTAGCAAAGGAATGTCCAGCCGCGTGGACATGGGCACCGGCTTGTCGGTGTGACGGGCGACAATCTCTCGACGCACATAGTGGACGGATCCAGACAGACCGTAGCGCCCGAGGACCTTGACATCGACACCGCACATCCGCTCTGGGGACACTTCTTTGGCGGTAGCGACCAAGTCATATCTAGCCCGCAGATGGCTGTAAAAGAGAAAGAAAGCGACGACGAGCGAGATGGCCGCGAAGATCCGCAGCACCTTCCTCGACGGTGTTGCGGAAGCCGGGAAAAGCTTCTCCAATGACTTGCTCGACATGTCTGCGACCAGAGAGCCGGCGGGGCCCGAGAAGGGAGGATGTGCTTCACCGGAAGATCAGGTAGGAGGGATGCGATATTAAACGTAGACAGTTCTTCGACATCACAAGCGAGTAATAGAGCCGGTACACCGTGTCATAGGGACGTCGAGGAGGGACGACGGTGTCGTAAACACGGTTCGTAGTCGCCAGTGACGCATAAAAGGTGCAAGAGGACGCCGGCACGAGGACCACGGGACGACTGGTCCCGGGAGGAGTGGATGGGCAAGGCTGCCTCTGCGATAACGAGGGAGAATTGGAGGCTGCGATTATAAGCGGACGGCGAGAAGACGTGAGAGAACGGCGAGAGAAAGGAATGTCTGTACAGAGTAACTAGTGATTAACTTGTTAATAATCAGTGCTCCTCGACAATCTTCAACTCTCCGACGGATCGGCAGCCTCAGCCACCAATGACGCGGTCGCGATCAATCAGGGCGGGCGCGCGGTGGAGAAGGATCGGCCGCGGCGCCGAAACTCTGACAGGCGCCGCCCTCCAGACAGGGCAGTCCCGTCGACCCCTTCCCCACGGATGCGCGCTGCTAATGTGCAGCGAGGAGCCCATGCGAAGCATCTCACCGACATTCTCCGTCTTCTGGAGGAGGCTCCTGGACAGAGCTGATCTGAATTGATCGAGATGGCTGCCATGATCCATCATTGATCCCTGTGGCTGGCCGGTGCCAAGCCTGCCAAGGATTCGACGCGTACGCCACATGGAAGTCGAACGAATTTTAACGTTTATATGCCGAAGTCCGCTTCTATATATACCTATCGTCCAGCTGAAAACCGGTTCTCAGGCTCAACGGGGTTAGATCGGATGTCGAGAAATGCCGATCTTACCTAGGTAGGACAAGTATTCCTGTGCTGCAGTCTGCAGACGTCCGTATGGAGAGATGGTGGCCATAGGATACACAGAGTATCCGTAACTAGTAACACAAACTGCATCTGCTGCTGCACGTAATACGTCATGTCTCGAGTTAAGCTGAAACATACATGAAGACAAAAGATTGAACTTCAACGGCCGTGACGGAGGACAACGACTGCAAAGCCATGCGGGGCTCAACACGTGGGGCCACGCTGGCCAATCCCATTACAAAGACCCGAGGTAGGCCAACACGCGATCTGATAAGAACAAGAACGATAACTAGAATAATAATACCTAGCAAGAGTATATACAGAGTGGTTAGGCGATTGAGAGAAATTCATTCATCACAGTTATTTCAACTTCTGTCCACACCCGTCCATAGCATTGCGCTAACGACGGGTTATAGAGAGCTACTTAGCTTGGAAGGAGACCTGCCAATGTAAGTTACATATCGGAACTAACCCACCAGTTGCTCTCGAGTGTGAGCTCACAGGTATTTCTCGAAGAAGGCCGCGACTTGCTTGTACCTGCACAACCACGCATTAGCGTCTACTGTTCAGACGATCATCGCGAGATCAGCCTTCATGCAAGCATGACCTACCCTCTCTCGAACTCTTTCTTGTTCTGCTCGTCGTCCAGGTTGGCCCGCGCTCCCATCCAGCCGTGGAACATGGTATCGTACGTCTCGACCTCGGAGCCGATGCCCGCCTTGCCTTCGAGAATGCTCTTGTACTCAGCAATTACCTCCTTGGGCTCGTCGGGCGATGCAAGGATGATGTGAGGGATCGTGATGTTGCGGGCGTCATTGGTGTCGAGGAGTCTAGGGAGTGCCATATTAGATCCGATCTAATCCCTTCTGGATCGAAAGAAAGTTGTGGACTGAATGCCACTAAGAGAAGGAGACATACGACGGATGAGCTTGACCGGAAACTGCAAAATGCGTCCCCTGAGCAGAGACAAGGGCGGACAACTGCGCAGGTGATGTCAGTAACGACTGCTTCTCCATCCAGCTCCTGAGTTGGAGTTGTCTCAGCCGATTATCTCACCTTTCCACCCCAGCAAAGTCCAAGAACCGCCCATTTCTCCACGCTGGGGTATTTGGCCTTGCTTTCGGCGACCACCTTCAGCAGCTTCTCGACGTTCTTGGGCGGTGCAGCCACCTCAGCAAAGAACTTGCCCAAGGCGTCCTTCTTCTCCTGCGTGTCCGGGGGCAGCCAGGCGCGATCCGCCTGCGTGCCTTCGAAAAGGTCGGGCACCAGAGTCAGGGCGTCCAGGTGCTGGGCCAGGCGGTCTGCGCCCAGGAGGGTCTGGGGATAGAAGCCAAAGATATCGTAGACAAGGATCACTCCGCGCTTCGCGGACGTGTTTCCAGTTGCATCTGTTCAGTCTCTCATCAGTCACTTACATCTCCATTGAAACTGCATGGCTGGTAGGTAACTCACAAACATCAAGTCCTGCGATCTTCTGGACAGGTATGGTCTGGGTGGTCCCCACCGGGGTCCTGGTGCAGCAAGACGAGTTGACTCCGGCCATTTTCCTTTTTCCGGTACGAATATCAGCGTTGTGAGTGATATGCTTCGACAATAAGGGAGCTTTGGTTCCTTCAAGTGCGGGGTTACAAAGACATTTATATAGGAGCTACGATTCATACAATTGCTTTACAGTACTGTACAATAATAGTACCCCTCATCTTCTCCTCGGTGGGCCGGCCGGCTATTATCTTGCAGAGACCGGTCCGCCGATTCGGGGTTTGATATTTTACACCACCAGAATTACTAATTACACCAGCTTCTAATTGGCTTCGGGAAAGGTCGGAAATCACCATACCACCAAATTTACTACCTGTGAATTCGATCGTCATTTTTTTTTAAAAAAAATTGTGTTTCAAACTGTAATTTAACACCCAGATAAAAAAAGGAAGAAGAAGAGAAGAGTAAACATGCGGGAAGGATTATTGACATTGACCCGGTTCACTGTCCTGGAAAGAGAAGGAACGAGTGAAGATTAATGACTTTGGAAAGAGCATATTGTGAGTTCCTACATGAACAGGTTGCTAGAGGGTGCAGTTGCCTAATAACATCGAGTTGTCCATTGTCTAGGACACTGCACCAAACAGCCATGAAGCAATCTGAAACATGCAGAGGCACTGCAGAATTATCCATAGGAGGAATCAGTAGAAGGCTAAGCTGTCCTCTGGCACAACAACCACACTGTCACATTGGGCTTCCATACACCACCAACAATAGAGAATGAAGGATAGGTTTAATGAAGAAAAAAAAAGTCACACGTATGACTTATCAGTCTAAACAGTAAACTGATAGTTGTTATCACCACAAACTTTTGCAGTATGGAGCTTGCGAGTTATGGAAGAATAAATAATATAGAGCACTGGTGTGAGGGCATAGACACACATTCGTTACCTCCTCAGTCTTCCCAGAAAATTCACCGAACGTATCCATAGCCGACCGCATATAAGATGGAGAAACTCACTTCTCATGAGTTTAACCAGGACTTGGAATATCAAATCTCTCTCTCTTTTGTTTTACGGTACGTTGAGAATTTTGGTTCTGTTATTGGAAACCCGCCTAGATGAGCCTGCTCTATGTGGCCCAACGTTGCAGATTTCACTCATGAAATGCCAGTTTTCCTGTACAAACCTTGGCCGGCAGGTATGAAGCATGCAAGAAATCTCGTAGAAGGGTGACAAGAGCGTGGTCAGTGTCTTCAGGGCAAGGATTAGCAGCCGACGAAAATAAAAAAAATCGATCAGAACAGTAAACGTACTTGGACCGCTCATAAGAGACACATGGACAGGGAGCAGCTGGGACTCACCGGTGATCTTCGAAGGAAAAGGTGCTTGGCCAACTAGATAAGAAGATTAGAATAAAAGGTCTCGACAAGGTGTTTTGGATTATAATAAGTACCTGGAACAACAACGGCCGGGACACCCGCAAGACTTGCTTGGTGGTCTTCCCGTTCATTCCAACGGTAGCCTGACGAATGCTCGGGAGATCTGAAAAAAATATCAGGTAAGGTGACCTTCATGGCTTAACTTGTGCCTTACTTTCGATACTCGTCCCGGTAGAATGGCTTTGGGTCTCCTACGGGGTAAACCATGATGGTATTAAAACTCTCCCCAAGAATAGTGCCGCGAAGCCACGAACTATAAATGCGCTTTCGCTCCGATGCAACGGCAAGTTCTTCATTTGAAATCTGCGAGCCGCGCTTGCTATATATACCGTTAGATAAAAATCAACCAGCCGGTAGAGCGAACGTACCAGCAGTAACGAACAGTTGGATGGACATAGGGAGAATATCCGAACTTTTTCTCGTAGTCCTTGCGGAACGGTGTCAAACTCTCGTAGTATCCCTTCCAGAGGATAGTCATAAACGTCTGAAAAAGCATTAGCACACAAAATGGACTTTTTTTTTAGTCGGAGTCTGACATTCTGAAGGTAGTCCTCTAGCGTTTCGCGGCTGTCGGCTGGGTTCTTCTTTGCCCACATATCCTCGAGAGACACAATAGATCTCTGGATACCAAGAAACTGTTCCAATTTTGTTACAAAATCTTCCATCTTTTGTTTTCCCGTGTTTTCCGGTCATTGTTTCCAGTAATCAAGGGGATAAAGGAGTTTGACTGGCCTCTAATCAGGAATTAGAATGAGAAAAGCAGTTGATTCGAAATATCACATACTGAAATCGCAGAACGACTTGTTTCACCGTATAGACATGTGCATATCGTTTGAAATACGTCCACATCTCTGCACATGAGTCCTATAGTGTCCATTGATCTAAACGAACATAAGCAGCTACGCAAATTGGGTGGATGTCAACGCAGTGGGGTAAATACCGTGTAATTGGGATGATGCGGGACATATCTGTAGAATCGATACTTGGACGCATGGCAAACAACCCCATAACCGCAGCCCGACCACGTATACTGCCACCAGCTGGAATTGCACCGATTAGAGGCCTGTGAATGCAAAATGCTCAGAGCTGACCTACTGTCTGTGCCTATTCCGAAGTGCACCCAGTCATAGCCTGCAAGAGCAACGCCGGTGCCAGTACTGCTGCCTCTCGGAGAGAGGTATCCATCACCTCGAGGATTCCAGGGACAGTGGTAATCGACCCAATCTGCAGTAGGCTGGTCACTTGACGCAAACTGTGTGCATTTTGTCTTTCCGACAATGACAGCACCTAGCTCAAGGAGGCGGACAACAGCAGGCGCTGTAGCATCTGAACATTCGTATAAGCTCTCATAAGCGCGACACTGACCAGTTGTTTTGACTCCCTCCAGATCAATGATGTCCTTTACTGAATCGCATTCCATTAAGCGGTTTTCCGGCCGACTTGGGGAAATGTAGTCGAGATGGGACAGGAACCATCAACTTCCCTCTGTGCATGCAGGTGACACCAATAAATCTAGGACCATTGAGCCAATATTGAATCAGATAAGGAATCATACTTCTCACCTGCTTGACCGAAATGCATGAATGGTAGGAAGCTGGAACGCTTCATAGATGTCAGGAAATAGTCTCCATGTACGATGAAGACTGGTGCCTTTCACGAAGTAAGGTCCCTCGGGCAAGATCTCACCCAGATCTTGCGATGATATGCTGAATACATCCGTACATTCCAGCTCTCTCAAAATCTGTTGTGCATCGTCACTGATTTGAAGCTGCTGTCGATGTCTAGCATCATGGAAGGCAAATATAATTCAACCCCAGAAAAATGCCAAAAACTCGTCGTCAGCCATAAACGACGATATTTTGGATTGCAACAGACATCTGCTAATCTCGGAGGTTTCGCAAATAATTACTGACGCAGGAGAGAAACTCGGATCAGTTGACCCAACTCTTTTGCGCTAAGCTTTGGTCTCAGCATTGATAAATGTAGTCGTGAGGGTGGTATCTTACATGATGCTCGTTTCTCGGTTGAAGCGGGTCAAGAGGGAGCGCGTCCTCTTCGATTAGGATGTGCACTTCAGGGGGTAAAGAAAGAATATTCAAGCGATGGTCATCTGTTCCGAAGGCGGCCGATTGCTAGAGATGTTTTAGCTCAAATTACCGTTTCAAGATCACACCAGACGAACAGTAGTGTACTTTGGACCCTCTGGAGCCACTGGGCGGCCAGCAGGAACTGCCCGTCCGAAGAGCCGGCAAATCAAGGGCCACATGCTCGGCACAAGAAGTAAGATGATGAGGAAGTCGCGAGCCCTGGCGGTGTCGGGGTAAGATTTGTGGCGTCTGTAAGATAGATAGTTGTATAGTTTACAGGAGCTGTCCTAGAAGATGAGTCACTAAATTTATATATGGGAGTCATAATTGCAGATTAAAAAGAATTCACGGATCAAATTTCAACATGTTCGGTGTTGATAGACCCTGTTAGGATCGTGACCACTCCACTAGTAAATATAGGATAAATCTCCATGTAGATTGACATTGCCCATATATACGATATTATATATTTTTCATCTGTGGCGGTCCCAGCTGTGTAGATGACTGTGCGTACTCGGATTCGGTCAATTAGCGACCAATTCTGCTTCGGTCTTGTTTGTAGCCAAAGATTTATTGTAGGCAGCTGATAGCATCTCGACAATTTCCGTCTTTCCAGATCGCTGCGCCCAGGAAAGCGGTGTATCACCAAACGAGTCAACAGGACAAAGGTTAGTCACTTTCTCAAGCAGTATCTCCACTGCGCGGGTTTTTCCAAAGAATACAGCCGTGAAAAGAGGGGTCATCCCGCTATAATTAGCCGTATCTGGATTTGCTTTGGCCGCCAGAAGTTCTTTGAGAATCTCGATCTGTCCATTCTTCGCTGCATGCGCAAGAGGTGTTGAGCCAAAACTGTCTACCGAGTCTGGAAATGCTCCATGCTCTAGTAGTCTCTTCACCGCTGGGTAATTTTCGTGAGCTGCTGCGCATAAAAGCGGGGTTCTCTGGAAATAGTTCTTTGAATCAAGAGATGCGCCTCGAGAGAGAAGCAAGTCAATAACTTCTGCTGTCGCTGACATCGCCGCAACGTGGAGACAACCGCCATCGCGGCTAATCATAGAATCTGGGTGAACACCGCTGTCCAGCATCAATCTTATCAAGTCGCTCTTCCCGCTTCTTATTGCATAATATAGTGGGGTGCGATCAGAATTATCTACAGACAGGGGGTCTGCTCCTTTATGGAGTAGAATCTCGACAACCCGTAAGTAGTCACGCCTTGATGCGTATGGATATTCATGCAACCTAGCGGGTGAGGCAGCAGCAGCAAAGGATAAAGCTGTTCGACAATCATGTTTATCCCGTCCTTCTAGACAAGCTCCATTGTCCAAAAGCATTTCAACAATCTCAGGATAGCCACAGGCAGCAGCGTGTGCGAGAGCAGGTTGTCCAAAAATGTTCTCATTGGGATCAGCTCCCTTGTCCAAGAGTATTTTGACCAAAGACACATCTCCATAGAAGATGGCACAACCCAAGTAACTGTCCCCTCTAGAAGTTTTGCAATGAGGATCTGCGCCCTTTCTCAGCAGCAATTCGAGGACGCTGTAGTTACGAGTGTACTCAGCTGGCCGAACCGCCTCAAGTATGCGCAACGAGTTGATCGTTTCGTTAAACATCTGTTCGAGAAGAACTTCACAACCAGTGAGAGCGGCCACTTCCAAGTCGAACCTAAAATCCCGCAAAGTAAGATCCACCATATGCTCACGTAAATATAACACTAGCCAGTTCACACATTCGTTGGAACCAGCTTTGATTAGCCTAATGGCCTTTTGAAGCAGGCTTCTAGTTGCTTTTGCACCCGATTTCGCAAGATGGCTGGGCCAGTATGCGGCGGCATACGCGAGGAAAGAATGCTTCGTAGCATCTGGCAGCACGAATCTTTCGAGATCCACGACAATGTCTTTTTCAAACTCGGGTAACAAAAGGTATGATGTGCAAATATCGGCAAGGACGTAATTCGAATCATCCTCGTTTAACGAATGCTTCCAACCCTTCAAACTCATAGTTCCAATCCCGCAATTCAACAGGAATTTTTTCGCTGATTGATGGATGAGGTGCACCCGAGAGTTTTTGATATCCAGGAAGGATCCACAGCTTGCTTGCAGAGTAGCCGGAAATGTTGTTTCTGGTTCGAGAACAAGACCTTGTGAGCCAGTCATCTCGCTCACCGCCAGAGCCACGTTGATCTCTGTGATTGTGAGCGGTCGAGCAGCCATCACGATTATCTGAAGGATTTTTCTGGTCTTGTCGCCATCTTTACTTCTTGCCAGAATCCTCTCATAGGCAGCCTCCACAGTTGGTGGCAGCTCATCGAGTTTCCGCTGCAACCTCTCTGCTGCAATTCCCGGGTTCTTTTCTAGTTCAGAAAAAGTGAGTGACACCCAGAGGTAAGTCCGGTTTTCGACTTCATTCAATTTATGACGAATGCTTTCATGGGCATTGTCATCAATTCCCAGTTGCTTTCTAAGCTGCCGGAAGGAATCAATTTTTGCTTGAATGAAAGTTTTGATTTCAAGGTAAATGTGTTCCTTCTCTTCTGCGTTTTCGCCCATCAATCGTATTTCTGTACCTAGTTTGATTCCAAACAGACTCTCCGTCATAGAAATTCGGGGTTGACTGGTAACGAGGAATTTTAATTTAGGATAGTCTTCGGGTTGAGAACACACGCCGCGAAGTAGTCGAATCATCGAGTCTTGCATATCTTCGGAGCATTCGTCCAGCGCATCGATGACACAGATTGTCCTGCCAGCTTCGGGACAGGTGGTAACTTCCAGAAACAATTTCCACAGTTCGCTCAATCTTTCACAAAGCTTATCACCATGTCGTTGAAAGAATGGAATCGCGCGTTCCAGGAGCGAAGGGTCCTGTGTGAAAAACTGATGCAAAAATGTGGAAATGGCAGCTGCTGGGTTCTTTGTCTTTTGGTCCTCATCCCTGAAGAAAAAATAGCAAATATTATCAGCTGGACTCGCATCAAGACTCAGGAGGTGTTCGTCAATTAAAGACTTTGCCAATACTGTTTTACCACAACCGGGATCCGCAGTAATCCAAAGCAATTTAGTTTCTTGTGCGTTGAGCCACATCAGATACTTTGGGTGGTTCAGGATCCATTCACAAGTGCCAGGCACACGCGGGGGAACCTCATCTTTGATGTTTTGATAATCCACAACACTGAAGCAGCGGAAACACTCCCTCAGCAGACTGTTTTGAGGCAAGTCCTTCAATTCCTGCATCTTCTCATTCAGCTCTTTGAATTGCTCCTCAATCTTTGCCTCGATATCGTTAACTTTTGTACCGATATTGTTGATGCTCTCCGAATCTGTGAGGTTTAAATAGCTGCGACAAGTCTTGTCAGCCTCTTTGACTGCTTCGAGCATACCCGCCCAATCGTCAGTTTGGAGAATATTTCTCTGCAGACGGGAAAGTGTTTTTTGATGGAAATATCTCAATGCACTCATTTGGAATTTGAGCATCAAGGCAAATAAATCTATCATCGCACACTTGACATCAGTGTCTTTGGCGTCGCGGCCCATTTTGCAGAGGTAGACTCTGTCAACTACAGTGTAGTAGCGAATCAAAGATGAGATATATGTTAGCCCATCGAGAAGAGCGGTGCGTTGTTCGACTTCGCTGCTGGCTAACTACCCTGTCGTTCAGCCTGCTGGAAAAGGAGGAAACGCTGATCTGCCTTTCTGGTCACTCACAGAAAGCAACAAGCATACTCCTGCTAATGGTAACCCAATGTGAACAGGATCTACTTGGCCCACAGCCAGGAGAATGTCTTTGGTTTTCAAGACATTCTTGATTACCTCGTCGACCTTCTTCCTCAGGTGAATCTGCTTATTTCCGAGTCTAAACCGCCAGCGTCGCTCATTCCACAGATCTACTCTTCGAGAAACAGTCTCTTGCATCAACGTTGGAATGGGTTTGGGAGCAATGTCCGTTGTATGAGACGTGCCGCTTTCGAGTTGTAGAATGTGCTCAAAATCTTCGACGAGTTGCTTGTCTCTTTGCCGCAATCTCCTGTACGCCTCCGTCCAGAGATCTTCCCCGGGACTTTGTACTGAAATGGGGACAGAGTGGGAACCGTTTTCATAACTTGGAGGTTTGGCAAGTTCGGCCGAAGAATTATTTGACAAAAGACGAGAGGTAGGGTTGTTTTCGGCACGCTGCGACAAGACTGGGTCTCCATTGCGCGCTCTGCTCAGCTTCAGCACGCTTTTCAGCCTTGCTCTCGATTTTCCAAAAAGTGGCATATCGGATCCGTGTTAAGGGAAAGAATATCATTAATTGCGATAGCATAGCGAGTAGGGAGGAGGCATAAAGCAATAAAGCAAGTCGAAAAGATATCGGTGGCATCTTGCATCCTCCCTTGAGGCTGTGCCTGCCCCATTGCTGCAGGCTTCCTGAAACATGACAGAGCCACGTATTAGGTAGATTGCTAGACAGCCTTGTTGACGTTCTTGTTAGCACAGACGTAGCTACCTGAACCGCTTACACAGCTGGCCAATAGTGACCCCGGTATAGCCGCCGGAAAGCCTGAGTGGGCAAAAAGGACAAAAGAGGACCAGTAGGCTTGCTCACTACTACTGTTCGTGGAAATGCAGCGTATCGAAGTAACAGCAATTTCACAGCAGTTGCCATGATTTTTCCTGCATTGAAGCGTCACAGTTGATGGTCTTCATTGCATACCATCGATTCTGAAAGCGAGACACCGAACACATCTGCAATTGGTGTTCCACTTGCTTCGAGAGACAACCTGAGGTCTCAAATCCTGCATTATCGCCTAGATGTTGTATTGCTGCCATATTCAAACCTATTAGAAGGCATAAAACCTCGGATGAGAGTCAGTTTGAAAGTAGGAACCTGAGCATGTATTAGCAGACATATCAATCACAATGACAACTACCATATTAGCAAGATGGACGTAATAAAAGGATCTTGTCTTGACAGAATGTCCATAAAAAAATCATCGAGAACAGTTCTGTTTGTTAACTGCAAATCAGTTTGGGGCAATACTAACGGCAGGCAGGCGGGCATCTGTACAGGCGACAAAGTGCGCCACTAGTGCCGAAAGTCCCCAATGTGGAGATATCGATCCCGCACAAGCACAAGATCCGTGATCATTCGCCTGGAGCATACCTTGGCCACCACCCATTGGGAATCTCCTGGGCTTCTATTAACAGAATTTCATAGGAGTACCTTTCACTTGATTTCGCAGGTTCTCGCCATGACTTGATTTCTGTTACTGCTCGATCGGACTCGACTCTACCCCGCAAAATCTTGTCCGCAGCTTCCCAAATCGTTCTGCTTAGCGACTCTTAAGTAACAGGATGGCAGCAGCTTCGGTGCAGTCGTTAAGCACTCTCTTGCAGCGCGCATCGATTGAAGATCATGAGGAGGTTCTTAAGGCATGCAATGCAGCTTTAAAGAAGTCCAAAAATGACGTCCACGCCCAGCACGCCAAGGCTGTCGCTCTGCTGAAGCTCGACCGGTACGATGACGCGTTGCGGGTGCTGGAGGAGGGTGGAGATGCACTGAAGAAAAGAGCATCTTTGGAATACGCATACGCTCTTTATAAGTGTGGAAAATGGAGCGAGGCAGCAGATGTGGCCGCCAGATTAGGTTCTGGGAGGGGCGCAAAGCATGTTGAGGCACAAGCGGTAGGATTGCTTCACACCTCCTACTGCACTTCAGCCGGTTTATTTCCAACAGAATTTCGTTTAATGCACAGAGCTACCGCGCTGAGAAATTTGCCAATGCTGCAGAAATCTACAAGAATCTTTCCAATGAAGACACGTCACTAGGCAACGAGCAGAACGATATACGCATTAATACCTTGGCCACAAACGCACAACTGTTATGGAAAAGAGAGGCCGGTCTAGCTGAAGCTATACGACCTACAAGAGAAGATCTCGAGGCCTTCGAAACTACATACAATGCGGCTTGCTCAAGTCTTGCGCGAGGAGATCTCCGCCAAAGTGAGCTTTTACTCAAACGAGCCAAAGGTATGTGTCGGTGGACGTTTCAAGCGAACAACATTGGTAACGAATGGCACGCAGAATTATGCAAGACTTCAGAGTATCTCTCGCCGGAAGAGAAGGAAGTTGAGTTATTTCCTATTGCGATCCAGGAGCTATATGTCCTTATAAGACAGGGGAAATTTGAGAGCGCAGAAGTACTTGTGAAGGAAATTTCTTTCAATCAGTAAGTATAGCATGAATGCCTTCATAGATGAATTTGTGGATCGCTCATGCGCATTCAGAGCCACGGAACTTTCCACGAGAAAAATCGCTCAGAACAATATATTATTGACAAGGCAACATGAAAACCCATATGTTCTCCACAAACTTTTCCACAGCACACAAACACCTACAGATAACGACAAGCTCTTTGAATTTCAAAAAAATGCCATTGTGGGGAATTCGCATTCTCTGGACCTCCTCGTCCAGAAATTCGATGGAGTAATTCGATCTACTTCAAAGGCACTGGCTCAGCGTCCTTATCCATCGACATCCTCGAGCGATAACATTCTCTCCGTGTACAACGCCGCAGCACGAGTTCAGGACAAGACAGGGCAAAAAGCGATTCAAGAAATTCGCCCGTTGCTAGAGAGACGGCCTAAAGATGTGGGTTTAGTGCTCACAGTGGTCCAACTCTATGTCGCCATTGGGAACATCACGTCCGCCATCTCTGCCATGGAGAATTTCATGCGCATCCTTGAAGAATCAATTGCGGAGGCCGACCAGGATGTGCGTTTTAGTCCAGGGCTTGTCAGTGTTCTCGTTTCGCTCTACCAACTCGAAGGTCGGAAAAACCACATCAGAGCTGAACTCGGCAAAGCTGCCTCTTACTGGCGTCAGCGGCCTCAGCAACCAACAGCCCTTCTCCGCACAGCTGCGGCGTCGCTTTTGCATTCCACCGACCCATCCGATCTAGCGATCTCTCAAGAACTGTTCAACAAAATTCACAACGAGAACCCGGCGGACAGGTTCGCTACAGCTGGCTATGTGGCCGCATACGCAACGACAGACGCCAGAAAGATTGAGGCAGATCTTGAGAATTTACCACCAGTCCAAGAGCTTGTCTCAGATGTTGACGTTGCGGCTCTGGAGGAGGCTGGCGTTCCGCAGTCATCCAGCAGCATTGCTGCAACTGCGGCTGTATTGGCTGGCGCCAGGAAGAGGGCTGCAAACGACCAAAATGTCCAATCTAAGAAGCGTGTTCGGAAGTCACGTCTTCCGAAGGAATATGATCCCAACAAGGCTCCCGACCCAGAGCGATGGTTGCCTCTTCGAGAACGCTCCACGTATAGGCCAAAAGGGAAGAAAGGCAAGCAGAGGGCAGCTGAGAGAACCCAAGGCGGTATTGTTAATGAGAAAACCGAAGAAGCTCTTGCGGCGTCTACTGGACAGCAGCAGAAGGGTAGTAGTGGGGGTGGAGGGAGCTCCAAGAAGAAGAAGAAAGGAAAGCGGTAGTCATTCTCCCCACTCCCGTCACTTAAATTTGGACTTGGGAATAGAGGCTCTGTTGCAATAGAGGGTCTACAAAAACGTTTGTCTGTTCGTATTAATTAAATTAGTGCGAGGCCTTGACTTGTGCAGCTTCAGTCTCGATAAACCTGATTCTACAAGCTTATGACGTGGATCTTTAGGAATCATTATCTGCTTCTAACACAGCTCCTAATCATGAAAGCTGGCGGTATTGGGAGGTTAGCATTCCAGTTCCCGCTCTGTCGAACCGAGGGTTCCATAGAATTTGATCGAGGACGAATTTTTTTTTAGGAATCGCGAACCTTGGAACACTCCCGATGTCGAATTAGGTAGTACAATAATAAACTTATAACAGACTTTTCCCCGCAGTATAGTTATCGGATGAAAGGGGAATTGCTGTTAATACTGTAGAGAAGCAAGAGTGTTTGTGCTGCTTATTGCATTCTTTCAAAGCTTCCTAGTACCCAGGCTATTGCATTCTTAGGGCGACACAGCTTCTAACTTCATTGCATTGCGTCATAGCCTTAGTTTCCTATCGCTGAATTTCAGCTGAGCCTTACGGAAGAGTTTGTGGCTGAGTACGAGCTTCCCGGTGGATCATTCCCCTCCTCCCAAGCCACGATTCAATTTATTTTAGAGCCCTCGGACGATTGTACTCATAGCTGACCATCTCTTCATTTTTTATTGTTTCCCTTTGACGAATTTTCCACATAACGTCATTCCATTGTTCTTCGTTGCAGAAACTCGTGCGGACGATGGGTGTAAGTCTGATCCATCTATTCGCAATCCCCGATGTCCCGCAGTCCCCCCTCAGAGAAAGCCAATTTTTTAGCATTGGCATAAGATCCATATGCTTGCCTATAGTGCATAATCTCAATGAACCTATGACTGACTCGTTCTCGAACTGCGTACCAGTTTGCATCAAAGATCGCAGGCAGTCAAGCCGGCACCGCACCTGGTGTCTATGGAGGAGCTCCTCCATCGGGTTATACTGGTGGCCCCCCTGCGCCCCCAGCGTCGTTGCAACCAGGTCCACAACCAGGACAATATGTGAGTGCAACTGACAGTTCAAATGACTATCAGCCATGAGAGCCTTGTTCAATGGGACTCAGAACTAAGGATATCTGTGTCGCAGCCGGGACAGCAGCAGTACCAGGCATATCCAGGACCTCAGCCACAGGGCCAGCATCAGAGCCCCTCCAGTCAGCCTAGCGGCCCGGTAGGTTTTCGTTTTCTCGACCTAGGTAGATCAGGCAGTCATTACACATCACCTAAGCCCCAAAAACATCGCAACGAGCATTGATTTTCTTCACCTTGCAAGCCTCACCTTATATTCATCCGAACTTCAACAAGCCCATTCTTTTCCCTTTTCTTTCCTTTGACTGTCATTCTGCCCCTTGTTACAATCATGAGTCGACCATATGGCCATCAACCGTATCCAGGCCAGCTGCAACCTGGTGCTTCTCAGCCTCCATATCCGACGTCATCACCGCAACCACCGTATCAACCGTACAGCCCAGCACCACCCCCTCGCCCGGGTGCATCCCCTTCTCCCACTTCTGGTTCTCAATATCCCGGCTCTCCTCAGCCTCCAAATTCTCAGGGTTATCAGCAATTGACGTACAATCAGTCTCAACAGAACTATGAAAGACCTCCGCCGCCCCCGCCGCCACAGCAATACGGAGCCCCCCCCGAATCCGCCATATGGACAGCCCTATCCGCCACAGTACCCTCCGCAACAACAGCAGCCTTCTTATGCACCCAATTACCCCAATGCTCCCGTCCGTTCATTCACCCCTTCTCTTTTAACTTCGTTCATTTGTGTAGATTCAAATAGCTGACTGTACCCCGCATTTATAGGGACAGCCATACAATCCCTATCCAACCCAAGGACCCCCGAGTTCCAGCGCTGGGAGCTATGGACCACCGCAGCCAAGTGCCCCTCATGGTGGTGGCCCTCCAGCTCGTCAGGCGAATGCACAAGAACTCGCATCGTACAGGCAACTGTTAATAGGAACCATCCAAGAGAAGCAGCTCCAGAACATGTATCCTCCTGATAAGCTGGAGCGCGTGGTCAGAAATCTGGAGGATGCCCCTGATAAGATCCAGAAACTTATGAAAGAGTGGAATGTTCCCCAGGAGATTGCTATGGACGTCATCAAACTGTCTTTGTTTGATATCGTTATATACGTGGACGACAGTGGCTCTATCCAATTTGAAGAAGACGGAAGCAGATTGACTCAGTTGAGACAGATCTTGGCTCTCATTGCCACTGCCGCGTCTAAGTTTGACCAGGATGGTGTCTCCATCCGTTTCATGAACTCCGATGAGCGAGGAGACAATATTCGGAGCAAAGAAGATGCCGAGGCGCTCGTGGCCCGGGTTCGATTCCAAGGCCTTACACCCATGGGAACAAGTCTAAGGAATAAGGTTTTGGAGCCCATGGTTATTGGTCCCGCCAGGGCTGGTCGACTGGAGAAGCCGGTCCTTGTTATCACTATCACTGATGGACAGCCTGCTGGTGAACCTCACAGCGCTGTTGCTGACGCAGTTCGTTCCGCCGTCGACGAACTGTCTCGCACACGATATGGTCGTGGAGCCATCTCGTTCCAATTTACGCAGGTCGGTACGGACTTGCGTGCGCGAGAATTCCTCAGCAAGCTCGATGAAGATCCCAGCATTGGAAATTTCATTGATTGCACTTCAAGTAGGTCTGACTGGATAAGGACGAAAGACCCATATTTCTAACTTTTTGACTAGATTTCGAGGTTGAACAGGACGAGATGTCCCGAGCAAACCCTCCGGTACATCTCACTAGAGAGCTCTGGGTAAGCACATATAATTCGTTCTAAACCATAGAGGTCTCTGCTAATGCATCGTACAGGTGGCCAAGGTCATGCTTGGTGCGATTGACTCGTCGTATGACACCAAGGACGAAAAGTCCTCTGGACGTGCGGGCGGTGCGCCTCCTCCTCCCGGCCAGTATGGCGGTTACAACCAAGGGGCATATGCTCAAAACCAGGCGGCATATGGATACAACCAGGGCGGGTACCCTCCACAGCAGAGCTACGGACAACCTAATTACGGCCAGCAAGGTTATGGACAACCGTATGGAGGTTACAGTCAACCGCCCTCAGGGTACGCTCCGTATGGACAACCTCAACCGGGCGGATATCCGCCACAGCAACCTGGATATGGACAGGCGCCTCCTCCCCCGCCCAGATATTGAACGGGACAATAAACAGCGCGTCTTAGCGTGCTAACGGGCTTTTGTACTTGTCATGATTTTCTTTGCGTCTTGTGTAAATTGCAGTTTCAAGAGCCGGAACAAGAATGTACACGGGAAGACCAGTGGTGGCCTTCCTGAGCAGCAAACGTATCGTTATGCCGATTGTTATATGTTGATTATGATTCGCAGTTACCTGGTCCTTAAATTAAATGCTATGGGAAAGAGACAGTGCCAATATGCTATGTTGTTGCATAATCGCAATCAGATTGTGAGCCCAAATTAGCTTTCTTTATACTCCATATCCTTCTTCGAATGATCCTCCAACATAAAGTACTCAGCCAGTTGAAATGTACCTGACAAATAATAATTTTCATTGAACTCCTTGAGCACTGCCTCCAGCTAAACAAGGCAGAAATGGCAGCTGGGGGCCACGCTAAACGCTAAGATGGTGGGGCGTGGGTGATCGCCACGATAAGCGGCCACCAGCCCCATCGGTGCTGTCGTAGATGGCATAAGGAATCGTCCAATCTGTTCTTTTTTACCACGTTCCCTGCAGGGTCGGAGACGATCATTCTTGACCATCAGCCGCAAAAAGGCGGTGTCTGTCACACACGCGGTGACACGCCCCGGTTGCCGACGATCATGAGCAGTCAGTCGACTTGACACAAAGTCCAAACACGAGATTGCCCGCAGGAGGCTGTGCTCCACGCAGGATGGCCCGTGGCAACTTGGCACTTGTCAGCAATGCCACTGTCCTGGGGGGAGATGGCCACTGTTGAAAATTTCTGCCAATTAACTCCGCGGGGGAGCTGGTTCCTCTCCGGTATTCCAGGACTCACCCGTGGATGACAGTGGGTTTTAAGTCGGAGAGGAAACGTGTAATTAGCGGACGGTGACATCGAGCCCGCCTCTACCAAGATTTTTTTTACCGATCGCCGCCGCAGCTAACTACCTGCTGGGGCAGGCGGTAAGGCGACGACGACTCCTCCGCACCCGGCTGTGGCCCGACCGGGCTCGGCCTTGTTGCCGCAAGCGTCGCCCCAGAGAGAACTAAGACAGCAGTGGTTAATATCTTGGCGGCCCTGCAAGGCTGCAGCGTTCTCTTGCCCGCAACTTGTCTCATCCAACCCACACCTCCCCGTCGCAGCCCCCAGACGCTGCTCCCAAAGTCCTTTGGTGGCCTCGTCCAATTCGTCTGGCTGTCTCGACAAAAATAGCTTAATGCCTGCTGCAGTTCAGGCCTAGTTTTGGCCTGTGGCCACCGCCTTGCCGTGACGACGCTGCAGCTTTTTTTTCTTTGTCCATCGTTTCCCCGACTCCAACTACATGACCACGGGGCTTTCAAACGCATTCTACTTGGATTCTTTGACGATTACGATTGTACGCCGCTAATGTCCTATTTTTCAGTCGTGTATGTTTGCCGGCTATCACAAGATCTACCTGTCCCAGTGAACGCATTAGCATCGAGACCGTCAACACATGAGCGTGCTCCGTTCTGCGGCATCGATTCGCTAAAATAGGTCCCCAGAAAAAAAAAGTGTATATGTTGAAGCGTTCTGTTTGCCCTCATTCGGCTGACAGATGGTTCGGTTTGCGAATCTTGATTCGACGACAGCTAGGCGCGTGACTTGACGAAAAGCTGATCTCAACGCCATCGCACATTTGGAGGCAGCAAGAAAGAAAGAGAAAATAAATGCTCATTTAAGGAGGCTCTTTTTGGGGCGACGCGATCGAGATGACAAGAGAAGATGACCAGACGAGTAAAGGAACGAGTCAATCACGGCACGGGGAGATCTCAAGACCCAACAACGACGCGCACGAGCCTTCGATAGCGGAGAGAACATCAGGAAGTGGTGGTGATGAACGTGTACAGCAGGGGCAATCCGGTGACGGAGCCCCGCCGAGCCCCTCGTCTGATGGCATCCCCGACTCATCTCTGAACAGAACTTCCCACCCCAAGGTCCGCTTTTCGGCTGACCTTGACCGGGGTCAGGAAGGTCCAGGCAGAACGTCGCAAAGCATCGGCGACCGGCGACCCGCCTCTCGAGGACTGACAATCGATACTTCAGTGCCGGTAGTGAAACGCGCCTCAAGCCCGCTCAGCAGGTCTCCTGGGCAAAATGACGATCCGACAATAGTTCCGCCGACTGCTGCACTCTCTCCCCTGTCACCCCAGAGTACTACCCCTGCCCCTGCTCGTTCCCGATCTCGAAACCGCGGTTACTCGCTACGACGAACCCTGTTCACGAAGAATATGCCACCACAGTCTGAAGAAAATGGAGATCAAGTCATTGAGATGGGGCCGAGCCAGCCTGCACATTCTTCGGATAGGATAGAGGAGAAAGGGACTGTATCTAAAGAGCAGGTTCAAGACAACATCCAGCCCGTAATAACGCCGGAATCGGACTTGCAGGACGATGTTGAGTCAGTGGTCTACTCGGATTCTACGCCGCTCAAATATATTACCTCGCTCACAGCTCGTGGAAGTCGATTTCGTGCAAGTGTTGCCTCTGTAACAGCCTTTGCACGGCTGTTAGCCTTTCTGGAAACCGTTCGGAAGGTCGTTTTTCGAATACGGGACATTCCTCCAACCAAATCTGGCCGTCATATTGATCTTGATGTTTACCGCACGGAGGCACTTATCGATGAGAGAACCGGTAAACACTATATCAATAACTCTATTCGATCCAGCCGGTATACTGTTTGGAGTTTCATTCCTCGACAGCTTGTCGCTCAGTTTTCGAAGCTTGCCAATTTCTATTTCCTCATCGTGTCGATCTTGCAGATGATTCCCGGACTGAGTACGACAGGTACTTTTACGACCATTGTTCCCCTTATGATATTTGTCGGCATTTCTATGGGCAAAGAAGGTTTCGATGATTGGCGTCGCCATCGTTTGGACAAAGAAGAAAACAACCGTTATGCCCGCGTTCTGCGACCAGGGAGTAGACAAGGTTCTCGCGTAAGGTCCGTAGCGGATGACGAGGATTCTAGCGATGATGGTGATTGGGTTGCTGTCAAGTGGCGGGATATCAAAGTGGGCGATGTTATCAAGCTCGAGCGCGATGAACCTGTGCCCGCAGACATCGTTCTACTCCACGCTGATGGCCCAAATGGCATTGCATATATTGAAACAATGGCACTCGATGGTGAGACCAACCTCAAGAGCAAGCAGCCGTGCCACTCGGTAGCCAAGGTTTGTTCGACCGTTGAAGATATCTGCCAACAGGATTCCATTCATTTCACGGTCGAAGATCCGAATATCGATCTTTACAAGTTCGAAGGAAACGTCACGGTGGGCGAGGACAAGCTTCCGCTGACCAACAATGAGATCGTCTATCGGGGAAGCGTTCTGCGTAACACGGAACGTGTCTATGCCATGGTGATCTACACCGGTGAGGAATGCAAGATACGCATGAATGCGAATAAGAATCCTCGGATCAAACGTCCTGCACTGCAGTCCGAAGTCAACTTAGTTGTCATGATCATCGTCGCAATTGTCATTATTTTAGCAATCGTCTGTACAATCGCCTACAGGTTCTGGTCAAAGGATGTGGAGCGAAAGGCGTGGTATCTGAGTCACGCTCGTGTCCCGATCGGCCAGGTTTTCACGTCGTTCTTGATCATGTTCAACACACTGATTCCGATCTCGCTCTACGTCAGCTTGGAAATCGTCAAGGTTGCCCAGATGTTTCTCTTGAACGACATCGACATGTATGATGAAGAATCTGATACCCCGCTCGAGGCCCGAACGTCTACGATCAATGAAGAACTTGGGCAAATCAGCTACATATTCTCTGACAAGACAGGCACACTGACGAACAACAGTATGCGCTTCCGGAGGATGAGTGTTGCTGGGACAGCATGGCTACATGACACTGATCTGCGGGAAGAGGCGGCTCGAGAAGGCGACCGGCAACGGTTGATCCACAAGAAACGCAGCAAGGGGAAAAAAGCAATGCGTCGCAAATCTTATGCAGACGATCCTCACAGAGCTTTTGTGCGGATGTCCACTGCCTCTGCGAACCTGGATCCGTCTGGTCAGTTGGCAAGTACTAAGCCAACCAACCTGGGGAGACCGTTCCATGGAGGCAATACGACACAAATGTTGGAGTATATCCAGCGCAAGCCCTACACCCTTTTCGCTCGTAAAGCTAAGTTCTTCATTTTGTCCATGGCCATTTGCCACACGTGTCTTCCGGAGCGTGATGAGACGGGGAGAATCAAATTCCAGGCTGCGTCACCTGATGAGCTGGCTTTGGTTCAGGCCGCGAAAGAGCTGGGTTATCTTGTCGTGGACAGACAGCCCAACACCCTGACCATACGAACCTTCCCGTCAGGGCCGGACGATGAACCCGTTGACGAAGTCTATGAGATTCTAGATGTGATTGAATTCACCAGCTCACGCAAGAGAATGTCGGTGATCGTCCGCATGCCAGACCAACGTATTTGCCTCTTCTGCAAAGGAGCCGATTCCACCATCATGAAGCTTCTCAGGCAATCTTCACTTGCTCATGAAAAGGCAAGTGAAATTGAGAGAAGGGCCAGCAAACGCAAGACAGCAGAAGCAATCGAGGTGATTAGACGAAACAGTGAGCTTCAGAGTCCAACTAGCGTCGGTCGCCCCAGTTTTTCAGGGAGAAGGTCGAGCGTCTCAGGGAAACATGCGTCTTTGAGGCGTAGCATCGATTTGTGGCTCAAAGATCGGGAAACAGACGGTGGAATCTTGACTAGGGACAATGGAAGTGAACACTACAGCCCTCGGCCATCAGCTCAGTTCAGCCGGCATTCCACTACTCTCTCAGATGGAAGACCTTCATTCCAGGAGGACGAGGGTGACTTGGTCGACGAGGCCCTGGTGGTAGACGAACAAGCCGTCTTTGAGAGATGCTTCCAACATCTGAACGACTTTGCAGCTGATGGCTTGCGCACGCTTATGTATGCTTATCGCTTCATCGACGAGGCCACCTACAGAGATTGGAAGAGGGCATATCAAGAGGCCACAACCAGTCTGGTAGACCGGCAGGAGAAGATCGAGAGAGTTGGTGAGCAAATTGAAACCCGGCTGGAGCTCACCGGTGCCACAGCTATCGAGGACAAGCTTCAAAAGGGCGTCCCTGAGGCAATCGATAAACTGAGGCGTGCTAACATCAAGCTTTGGATGCTCACTGGTGACAAACGGGAGACAGCCATCAATATTGGGCACTCTTGCCGGCTGGTCAAGGACTACTCTGAAGTTGTCGTTCTTGACCATGAGACAGGAAAAGTTGAGGAGTCAATCAATTCCCTGACTGCAAATATCCAAAAGGGCAAGGTTGCCCACTCTGTTGTCGTGGTGGATGGCCAGACTTTGTCCGTCATTGAATCAGACAAGGTCTTGATGGCGCGCTTTTTCAACCTGGCCATTCTTGTCGACTCCGTGATCTGCTGTCGTGCGAGTCCCAAACAAAAGGCGTTCCTAGTGAGATCTGTTCGGAAACAAGTCAGTGACGCTATTACTCTGGCCATTGGCGACGGTGCAAACGATATCGCCATGATCCAGGAAGCTCATGTCGGTATCGGCATTACTGGTAGGGAGGGGTTGCAAGCGGCCAGGATCTCTGACTACTCGATTGCGCAATTTAGATTCCTTCTCAAGCTACTCCTGGTCCATGGTCGCTGGAACTATATCCGGGTCTGCAAGTACACGCTGGGGACTTTCTGGAAGGAGACGCTCTTCTATCTTACGCAAGCTCTGTATCAGCGCTGGAATGGTTACACGGGCACCAGTTTGTATGAACCGTGGAGCCTGAGCATGTTCAATACTCTTTTCACCTCTCTAGCGGTCATCTTCCTTGGGATATTTGAAAAGGATCTTTCTGCGTCGACTCTTCTTGCTGTCCCGGAGCTCTACACGAAGGGCCAACGCAATGAGGGTTTCAACATCAGGATATACCTGGGCTGGGCCTTCATGGCTGTCTGCGAGGCGATGATCGTCTTCTTCACCATGCTCGGTCTCTTCGGGGAAGCCGTCATCGGTATGGACAACACCGTCTATCCATTAGGACTTCTCACGTTTACTGCATGCGTAATTATCATCAATGTCAAACTCCAGTGCCTGGAAATCCACAACAAGTCGATTCTAGCAGCGCTGGTCATGTTTGTGTCCATTGGCGGCTGGTTTCTCTGGAACGTCATTCTGTCGTGCCGATACAATGATAGCAAAGAAGGCAAGAGCATTTATGACGTTCATGGCAACTTCCTCAACCGGTTGGGGCAGGATTTGTCATTCTGGGTCGTCCTCCTGCTCATCGTTGCCTCCGTGTGTCTGTTCGAGATCACGGTGAGCACGGTTCGTGCGACACTGTTCCCTACCGATGTGGACATCTTCCAGGAGTTCGAGCAGGACCTTGAGATCCGCAAGCGGTTTGAAGAAGCGGCCGCGTCGGAGCTGCAGCAAGGGTGGGACCACGGAAAGAAGAAGTCCAGCTTGGAAATTGCCAGGGAAGAGGCCGAGATGGCTGCCCGGGAGAAGGAAGTGCGCGAGCTGCTCAATCGACGGCGCGAGATGAGCAAGACGAGTTCTGGAGAGGCTGAGATGGAAGAGGTTGAACTGGACAACTACGCTGGTGGCAGCGATGGCGTGGACGAGGAGGTCGGCCTTACTAGCCCTGGTGGCAACCTACGCCGCTCTCTCGATATCCATGACCTGTTCAGCAAGAGGTTTGGCTCGATTAAGCGAGGGCAGGAGTTGAGGTGAAGGCGCTGCAACAAGCGATCGATTCCGTTTCGATTTGTTTTCAGTGTCTTTTCTATTCCCTTCTGCGTCAAAAGTATATTGGTTCTCTCATCGTTTTGCATTGGGCTAGTGTGGGTTTCATGCATGCATTGCCTGGGCCAGGATATTTTTTTTTCCCTTCCCTTTTCTTGTTTATTCTTTTTCCATCTGCAGAAATTGTGGCTGACCATGATATCCCCTGATGTTAATGTTGATATTGATATGCATACATACCCCTTATATCGATTGATCGATCGCGTCCAGTACAGTGCTGTCACCCTGTGATAGACATAGTGAGGGTGATGAATTATGAAGCAATACATATATGAATGTACGTAAATGCATATTGGATACTCAATGTGAATATAATATTCATCAATCATCTGTCTATCTCACTCGTTAAAACATCCAGATACAGCAAGTAATTCAAAAAAAAATATGTACTGAGGGGGTCGAGCGGGAAGAAGGGAAGAGACATTATTCGACCTTGTCAGAGCAACCACGGTCTAGACGCGTCTATTCCGTCCATGCCCGGAAGGACCAAATTATGCCTACTTCGTACCTATGGATAAGTTACACACTGATCGTCCGGACCAGCCGTTGAATGGGGAACGGGGAACGGGGGAGCGGTTCCAACGGTTCCAAACGGTGTAGTCTGTTTCGGAATCTGCGTGTGTGCCACCAACCAGCTGGCTTTCCATTTATCTCCTTATCCATCCATCCATCCATCCATCCAATGTGATGATAAAATGGATGGCACATGGGAGGGACAGGTTCGACAGAGAGACTGACGGACGGACAGACAGACAGGCAGATAGTGGGAGAGTTGTTTCAAACACCCGAAACGAATTTCATACGTCCATCATCACCCTGCAAGTAACCGTGCGTACATGCATACG